GTAAGTGTTGCCGTTGTATTCGCATAATCTCAGTTGTGCGCATTTCTCTTGTAAATTATTGCTTTTCTTCTCCGGACTGAACTCAAGACGTAATCATAGAAACCATCTCTGTCGCACTGTATCAGTATGTTCTTTTACAGTGTGCATATATTCATTTTATTCATTAGACCCAGAGTTGTGAGGTGAGCATCCATAGTTGTTCCATCACCATAATCTTTTCAGCAGAATCTGAGGGCTTTAAATGGTGGATTGAGACTTCTGCTACTTTGCCATAAGAAATTTTGGTTCAGTTGTAATCCACAGTTCAGTTCAGTTCATTTATGCAGTTATCAGTTGTAGTAGTTGCTCTTGTCAGTGCTGCATGGCCTGGTAGTCAGCCTTTTGGCGGTTCTGATGAATTAGTCGACCGGAATGTTTCAGTGTGTAATTTTACAAGTGTTTTGTGTTCTCCAGTAGATGTACTGTTGTGTTTCCTTATCTTTAGAATCCGTCTGGTCTATAAATGTAGGAAAACTATAAAAGGGATCTACAAATTTAATCAAAAATATCATTATCCGTTAGTAAGATACATTGACCCCTCAGTAACGAGGGGTCAATGTAGTTTACTAAAAGATACTTGTATTGTATCCCATTGCAAGTATCTTTTTTTTTTCTGGGATTTTTGCGACATGTTCGTAGCGCAACGATGAATTAACGGCTCGTAAAAAGAATGTGTGTTTTATTTTAGTAGCAGCTGTAGTTGTGAACTAGAGGTCTACAGCTCGAGGTCGATAAGCCTGGGTTAACAGCGCCGGGCATGTGAGGATATCCCATTAACATTACTAACAAGGGAACCCCGTACCGATTGTCCGGCTGGACTTGGCATGTTTTGTTTTCAGGGTTTTTGCCCGCAAACACTTGTAGAAGACATAAGATTTTAGCAAAAAACTTGACCTGAAAACCAAAAAAAAAAAAAAGTCGGGCTGAGCGGAAGCTTGTAGAGGATGCTGTCGGCTAACTTAGGTCTTAGTTTTACATGCACTGTAGCGATCGTTGTGGAAATAATTTAGTTTTCACTGCAGTGTGCTGATACTTATACTGGTGCTG